TTTTGTGGTTCCCGAGTTGAAAGTGCGGGACAAAATGTGGGACACACACACACACACAAACACACATACACACACACGCACAGACATCCTCGTGACAATATGCGTTTTGTAACGCTGTTACACAGCACAAAACGCATAAAAAGCTGAAAGTAATTTTCAGAATTTAACGTTTACTAGTAAGAATTTACCACCAATAAAGATTATTTGGATATGTGGATCGTTCTAGCGCTTGAGGTGTAAGGACTCTCAAAGATATTTTTTAAAGAAAAATGAAAATCAACCAAATTACATTGTATCAAAAAACTTTTTTGCTGAGAACACTAAATCCGCCGGAATAATCGGTGTAACAGATCAAATATCGATGATCTAAATGCTATGCTCTTGTACATCATTTGCAACTATGCCAGTCTTTTTAATCCTGGATTGTATATCCTCACTTTGGGCCCAATACCCATTTCATCTGTGACGCTCAACTTTTCGAAAATCGCCCGAATGGCCGTTTACCTTCTTTTCACACACACACACACACAATCCTCCTCTTCCTCCCCCCTCCCCTCTCCCCCCTTATTTTTGAAATCGAAATGTTGTATACCTGAAAATATCTGGTCTGAAAGCGTGTGAATGCGCAACCAATTCTGAGATCTAATTCCTGGCGGGCATCCACCGATAAGCTTTCGTTGATATTTGGACGCCCCAGGTTGCGCATCGCTAATTTGATGTCTTTTTCGGTGACAGCAGAAAAATGTGCCCTGAAAGAAAAACAAAAACTACAAAATATTCCAATTCGCTGACCTAAAATGTCGGAAAGGAAAGCGTTACGGATCTGTAGATGTGCATTTTGCCCCAAAAATTTGGCCTCTTCCCGAAACAAACCTTTAATACATGTCGGCTTCTGTAGAAATTTTCTTCTTTAAAATTATAATTTTGTAAAATACGGCCGTTAGAAGGCCGTATTTTAAAAAATTAAAACCAAAAATGGCGGCCCGAAAGCAAACAAAATGTGGAGCGGTCAGAGCTAACAAATTTTAAACTCGGTTGGGACTGATTTGGTAAGGCGAAGATTTGAAGAAAAAGATTGTAGGCCGGTTCATGTGGCACGAAACCGTATGACATTTTGTAAAGTCATATGGAAAGGAAAAGCAAAAAAAAAAGTCTGCCTGTGTTTCATCCCTTAGCTGTAAACAGAGACAGTCGTATGGAACGATGGGGGAGCGGGAATCATCAGTACAGTCCCCTAACCGTTATGTGAAAATGTTAAGTGTTAGGTGAAGGCAATTTGAGATTCAGAAATGGTAATTGTGGACGACTTAGTCTATGAATAATCTTGTATCCCGAGAATACACTGACCTGTTACTAAATGTGCAGGTAAATTTTTAAGAAAAAAAAGCAATTTTAAAAAATACCTGTAGATAACATCCATCACATTCCCCAACCTAGGCTTCTTGAGCACGTGCCGGACAGCATCAATTACCTACAAATTTTCAAATCAACTAACTTAATCAGTTGTTTTGCTGCCCAAAGAATTGACTTACTACTGCTCGCTGAATAAAGATAATTAATCAGCACACCGACTGCCGATGCGAAGATGCATTTTTAGCATAGTTTCTCGCGGATATTTGTCGCTAATGGCATCGGTTTTTCGGGCAGATGCTTCTAGCTAAACGAATTGAGACTGACCGCTAGGACTGTCAGGAAAAATCCTCTTGAAATTTCAGCTCTCTAGCTTTTCTAGCTCCTGAGTTAGCAGTTTACCGGCCAAAAACTTTGAGAGGGCGGTAGGTAGGATCTACGTAGGTAGAAGTGCCCAGTTTGAGAATGGGAGCCCATGCGTGCATGTAGATTAAGTTCCCAAAGTCTCAACCCTATAGCCTTTGTAGGTTTCGAGATGAAAAATCGGTAAAGATGAAAATAAAGACACACGACTGCCTAACTGAAATAACTGGACGGACTCACATACATACATACATGCATGCATACATACATACATAACAAACATACATACATACATACATACATACATACATACATACATACATACATACATACATACATATATATACATACATACATACATACATACATACATACATACATACATACATACATACATACATACATACATATATACATACATACACACATACATACATATATACATATATATTTACATACACACAGACAACCCCTCGACAATATGCATTTTTGTATTGTACAGATGCAAAGAACGCATAAAAAGTGTCAGCAATTGACAAAGAAAGTCTGTCCAAGTTAGACAGAAGCGGGCAATGATAATGTATGTATATCGATATTATATTGCATGTATACTCAATATAAACGCACAAAAGGCTGTCGAAACTAATACATTTGAAGAGGCCGGTAAAGCTAAAGTACCTGTGATACACTTATTAGCTGTACCATATGTATATTTTGTTGTAGATTTAACCGTATAAATACTGCTAAAATTGATTCAC